TCCATAAAGTCAGTGATCTACAAGTGGAGTAGCGGCAAGTTTAACAAGTTTCAGGAAATACCAACTGAAGGTGCCCTGGAATGTGCTGCATTTGTAATAAATAATGGCACGTTTATCGCTTTTGCCAACCATTACAACTCCAAACAGCAGTATTCAGTTCAGTCGACTGTGTTCAAGTCGTCAGGAGGACACTTTACTAAACTGCAGTCTCTTCAGACATACGGCGCATATCGCGTGAACTCTGTTAACATCAATGGTCACACATTCCTCGCCTTTGCTAACTATTACTCTGGAAGTAGATACAACACCGACTCGTTTATTTACAAGTGGGATGGCAACAAGTTTGTTCTGTTCCAGTCCATTGCTACTCGTGGAGCCATGGTTTGGCATCCCTTTGTGATCGGCGGTCAAACGTTCTTGGGTGTGGCTAATTACCATGGTGACAGTCAAAAATACAACACTCAGTCAGTTGTGTACCAGGCCTTTGGAGCGCAGTTCATCAAGTACCAAGAGATTCCTACACACGAGGCACGTGACATGACAACATTTGAGTACAAAGGTCACACCTACCTGGCAGTGACAAACTATTACAATCAGAAATACAACATCAACAGCGTCTTGTACAAGTGGGTATAGAGATAGATACAGACGGTGTCGGATCCTGAAAAATGACCAAAGATAAAGAAAGCTTATGCATAATTTAAGGGGAACTTNCGACTCGTTTATTTACAAGTGGGATGGCAACAAGTTTGTTCTGTTTCAGTCCATTCCTACTCGTGGAGCCCAAGCTTGGCATCCCTTTGTGATCAGCGGTCAAACGTTCTTGGGTGTGGCTAATCACTATGGTGACAGTCAAAAACACAACACTCTGTCAGTTGTGTACCAGGCCTCTGGAGCGCAGTTCATCAAGTACCAAGAGATTCCAACACACGGGGCACGTGACATGACAACATTTGAGCACAAAGGTCACACCTACCTGGCAGTGGCAAACTCTTACAATCAGAAATACAACACCAACAGCACCTTGTACAAGTGGGTATAGAGATGAAAACGGACAGTCTCGGATAGAAGTGACCAAAGACTCTAAAGAGCTTACGCGTAGTGTGTCAAGTTAGCTTTCGCTGTTGTAGACTAAGGGTAATAATCGAAGCCTTTTCTTACCAGTAAATTGGGATCGTTTTTTTGTGATGCCAGGGAAAATATAACGATCGATTTAAAATGAAAATATAGGAAAAAATCATGATTTTTTTAGAGGTTGGCATTTGTTGGTTATAAATCAGGTAATGATGTGTAGTTACTCAAGGCAATAATAAAGCTGTGCTTGGAAATTAGCGGCAAAGTAGGATGTCAAGTCTGGTGGTATCTACATAAAGCACGTTAAAACGATATTCGGAAAGGGTCTTTCGTGTTTAAACCTGAGTCCGTTATATCAGGGGGCTGCAATGAACTTTCAGATGATATTTTTACACCAATGATAGGTCTAGTAAGAACAGAATAATTGGATTGCTCTTTTGAGCGTTCGACTTATTGCTTGTACGACGTAATAACTTGTTTCTTTGTAATGGTCAATGCACTTAGCTACATTAAGCTAGTCCACACAGATGCCACTGACTTAGCCTGAAAAGGACAAATATTTCAAATAAACATAATAGGCTTAAATATCCCAACTAGCGGGAGGTAGATCAGTTGGCTATTTACAAGTATAACCGAGGAGCTGAACTAGGGTCCGACCGAGAAACAACTCCAGCTTAGAGGCCCGAGCGAAACTCGAGCCGACTATCTCCAGATTTCAAGTCAGGCGCCCTAGCCAGTCGACCATGCTGCCTTTCCGCTGACAAGATATCCAAAGATTTAACATCTACTCTAGCCGCTGTGTTGAATAAACGCCCGTTCTATTGCCAATGTCAATGTCTTTGATACAGAGGCTGCTTTGATAAGATTCCCTGACTCGTCTGTTCTCTCCAGCAAATTAAACTGTAATGATTTACCTAACTGTTATGACATTGTACGTAAAAAATTTTATGTAAAATGACTAAATTAAAGTCTGTCAAAGAAAAGAAACACGTTTTTTTCTACATTGAAGGTGGTCGAGCTTGAACAACGCATGTCTCTGAAATTTTTGACCTTTTCCAGCCTGTAAATGCATTTCTTAGCTTATCACGAATGGTAAACATCCTTAAACGAATTTTCTTAATATTCATTTTATTCGGCCATCTTTCGTTGAGAATTTTATGCTTTTAAGCGAACAGGATTTGCCATGTGGTACTCGCACGTAGTTAGTTTATGGAAATATCCTCCTTTTGATTAATTCTCTCGGTTTGGTGATATGCTTATTGGTGAATTTCTTGTGTCGGGTAAGTGATCAGTATTTAATGGGAGCTCTGCTTTTGGTTATATCTCTATGGTACCTTTTTTTAACCCAGAATGGCCTGATGACCGTAAATATGTTTTTACAGTAATCAAAATAATTTTAAACTTTTTAAAATGAAAACTAATTGTTAGTTTTCATGGTCAGAACTATTAAACGTTAGTTGTAACAGCCACCGCCCCATTGAGGCCCTCATATAAGGCTTCACATGGGAACATGACGGAGAAAGAGATTCAGTGACAACGCCTTTTTCTGCTTGCACTGGAGACTTTTTCCCGTTTTTGTCTCAAAGGTATGGGTCATCACATGAATTTTCTCGCGAAATCTGGAATAAATAAGCTTGGCTAGATTTGCAGTCTGAAAAATTTTCAAGTGCATATTTGTTCCAAATTGCACGGGAATAATTCCGAGTTACTTATTAAACTAGGGACTTTGGCTACACATAAATTGATTATTTGGATCTGGGCAATGCTCTTGGTCTTTAAAATGGCTTTAAAAGTATTCGCAAACCTTCCGATGATGTTGGAAACTGTTCGAAAATCATTTAGTAACCTTCGTAGCCTTCCAAAATTTTTGGAAGAGTGTAAAAAATATTCAAACCTCTTCACAAGAAATCTACGGAAAGGTTCAGGTGGTGATTGGAAGTGTTTGAAAATCTCCTTTTATCTTCTGTTATCTTCGGAAGGCTCCAGGTGGAATTTGACCATGTTTTTTTGTATTAAGTTCAGAAATCTTTTATATGTCGTTGTAATTTACACACGCATTACATCTTTGCACTCGTGTTATACTTTTCCTGCACTTATCAATGGCGGATCCAGATCTTGAGTAAGGTTGGGGGGG